CATTGTCTTTTAATATGAATAAAAATTCTATTGCAGAATTTTTTTTTTTCAATGATCACTCTTATACCCTATACTGGCAATTCCCCATTACTCCCTATAGTAATTATCGATTTCCATCGCCAACTTTTGAAACGCTCCCCATTAAAAATCTACATCGATGACCGTATGATTTTTTTTATTGATTTTAACTCACCAAAAGTCACTTTACCTCATAATAAAATTTGAATAAAAAATCTATTGGAGAAATGAATTAGGTCCGTCGTCGTTAATTGAGCACCTGCACTGTTCATTCTTTTTCCAGGTTTTTCTGGTGGTCTCTGTCATATTAGCGAAGAATCCATGGAGAAGGAAGGGTACGATAGAAATCGAATAATGAAAAAAAAATATGACTCACTAAAGGTCCCTTTTTACATCAATGAAAAACTATTTTTGAAAAATACTAATGTAAAGAGAATAAAGGTGAAAATACCGTATATGTTCACAAAGGGCACCTGTCATTCTGTTTAAAGGCAACGTAGTTTCGATGAAATTATTGCAGCTTTTCCAATGTGGAAAATACGTGAAACTTAAGAATTCATCAACATATATGATTTAAAGATGTCGATACGATATATCCCATTGTGCTTGAGATAAAAGATACCACAGAGTCTGACACATCTGTTTCATATTTGGATATTTTACTTGAAAAAGACGTTAATGGTAATCTAACAACCAAGCTTTATGATAAACGTGATGACTTTAACTTTTCAATCGTCAGCTTCCCTTACTTATGCAGCAATATACCTTCATCACCTGCATACGGGGTATATATCTCTCAGTTGATTCGATACGCAAGAGCATGCTCTATGTGTGTACAATTTCTAAAACGAGGTAAATTATTGACAAATAAGTTGATGAAACAAAAATATCAGCTGTTTCCTTTAAAGTCATCATTTCGTAAGTTCTATGGTCGATACAATGACCTTGTCAGCAAATACAATTTATCATTGAGTCAAATGCTGACTGACGTTTTTCGTACTAATTGTTAGGCCATTATTTACACACTGAATTGCCCTCGGATTTTTCCGCTATTTCCCGATCATGACAAGGAGCACACGGCGGGTGTGACCGGTGGGCAGGGGATGCTCACTTCTCCATGGCACCTGATCCCACCTCTGATGTTTGGAGGTCCGTGTTTGCTCTGTTCCTATTTTGTATTGTTTAATGGACTTCTGAGCTTGAATACTGTTCGTTATCTCCATATATTTCATTATTATAGAAGTAAAATATAATGATACGAATACTTGAATTGATTACAAAGTTCTTAAACACTGCTTAAATCCACAAAAAGTCCTACTGATTTTTTTTCCAATCCAGCATATGTTTAATCTCTTTCAACCTTAGCTTCGCAGTATAAATAAGGTAACTATTAGATTTATAGTTTAATATTTTGTCTGTAAGAAGATAAATAATATGATAGTTGCATATGAAAAATGAATTTAAATTATACAGACAGAGGCGGATTAAAACGTTTTAACGCAAGCCATTATGACGTAGCAATATATTTTATACGCTAGGGTCAGTCGTATGATATTTAATTTTAAAACATTTATTGGGATATAAATAAGGGTAGGTTACGTGTTCAAAACCCAATTAATCCCGTAAGCATTTATGGTAAATTTGATCACATATCAACCCATGTTTATATCCCAATAGTTTATTTACATTTTTATTACATTTATGACTGATATATTTCAAATAATAGCGTACTATAATTTTAACCCATGAAAGGGTTTATTTTTTTCAAACTTCATCGGTAAAAATTGAATATACTGAACATTTCGTCTACTTATTACGTTACTTGAAGATCAAAAGTCAGTTTACATGGAAGAGGTGTATGCAATTGTTAAACCTATTATTTACCCACTATTTTAAATCTATACGACATCTATAAGCATTGTGACGTCATCATTAACATAATTGTAATATACAACAGGTAAAGGAGGTGACTTTTGCATTCGGAATCGAAGAATCTGTTACAAAGGTAAGCTGTGTATCAAACCGGACTCTTCACGCTACTGTAGATGTCCACCTCGTTGGACAGGAACAGATTGTCGTCAAAAGTTAGGTAAGGATTGTTCAGTCTACATTATTTATTATCATTCAAGATCAAAGAATTTGCTACAGAAGATTGTTCAATTGTACAAAATGAGGCGTATTAAAACGTTTTTGAAGCAAGATCCAGACGTGTTATATTTAATTCTTGAACAAATATTAGGATTAAATATGGGTTGGTTACGTGTTCAAAACCCAATTTATCACGTAGGCCTTTATTGTATATTGGATCACAAAACAACCCATGTTTTTATCCCATTTGATTTAATTAAAATACTAGTAAACTATAGATTTAGGCCCATGAAATGGTTTATTTTTTTCAAATTTCACCGATGTAAATTCTTATTGAATATGTTGAACATGTCGTCTACTTATTACTTTATTTTGAAATTATGTTGATTGTTTATGACAAAACAATGCATTTGTTGTCATGTGACGAACTGGTCTTCATACAGGCTTAAATACGCATTGCTCAAATGGTGTCATTTGCAAGTGCAAATATTTAGAGGTAAACTTGAAGATCAAAAGTCAGTTAACATGGAGGAGAAATATGTAATAATTATAAAATTATTTCTTACCCACTATTTTTAAATTTGTACGACATCTTTAAGCATGTGACGTCATCATTAACATAATTGTAATATACAACAGGTAAAGGAGGTGACTTTTGCATTCGGAATCGAAGAATCTGTTACAAAGGAAAGCTGTGTATCAAACCGGACTCTTCACGCTACTGTAGATGTCCACCTCGTTGGACAGGAACAGATTGTCGTCAGAAATTAGGTAAGGATTGTTCAGTCTACATTATTTATTATCATTCAAGATCAAAGAATATGGGGAGTAGGGGATGAAAAATACCCCTTCTGAAAAGCACCTGTGGAAGTTCTTTTTCTTATTTTTTTTTTTAAGTTAATATCTGGATAATGCCCAGTGGTTATGTAAAACTTCAACATACTATCTAAACAAGAATTCTCTTAATGGTCACATCCCTGATCCTAAGGAACTGAAATGTTACCATTTGAATGTATCAAAAACAATCAATGTGATTATTTCCAAACAGAATTCTGAACAGTATTTAAGGTGGTATGGGAATACCAGACGAATTTCCCCTACATATTTATTTGCTTTAATTAGTAGGATTTGAAATACCCCCACCTTTCAGTGTGCTAAATTGTTATTTTAATATTTTTTATCTAATTTAATAAAAATATACAAAAAATGATTATTTTTCTTATATATATATTTTTTTTTTCAGAAGCTGAGGCAATTTTGACTAATATAGTGTTGATATAAAACAAAAATGACAGGAAATAGGTCTTATTATTTTTTTAATTATTATTATTTTCAAAAAAAATAAGCATAAAAATCTGAGAAAACATCATTTCTTGAAAACAGACGGATAATATTCCATGGTAATCTATAATTAGAGTGTGCCTAAATATAATAACAAAGTATTATGTAAAAATTGAGAAAATGTGTATAAATGGAAACTATCAGATGCATCAAAAAAATTTTGAATTGAAAGATCTTAATGGGAGAGTTATCCTTCTTTATTTTCCACGGGTTGAAATACCCTGGGTGCTTTTTCAGATAATGTTAGCATTTCATTAGACTTTCAAAATATTGCACTTTTGTGCAGTGATAGTTATGGAAACAATTCATGAACAATATCTCTCCAAGTCGGTCTCCTGCAGTAAAATTGCAATCAAAGTTCTCAAAGTTTTGGGGCTACATGTATATGTGACCAAACAATTACTTCTTGAATGAAATAAGAAGGAAGACCAGTTCAGTTTAACATGATAATTGATTAGTAATAATTCAGCACAATGTGAAGTAATCATACTTATCCATGCCTCACCGCACACAAGGTAGTGTACTTTTACGCAAACAATGAAAACACATGTATTTGCTTAAAACTGTTCAATAGCAGCTATGTTTATCTTTTATTGGGTTTGTTTTTTTTTAAAGTCCATGGTTAAATATTAATAGTTACAATCTACAAAAAATATTAATAGCTAAAAAAAATAATAAATGCCAACTTGTGAAAACTTGCAATAGAATAGCTTCAAATAGTTCTTTTAAACGGTGTATCTACAAATTTTGATCCAAAAATAAGCACTCAACCAAATCAAAACGATACTTCAAACGGAAGTACGTCATAACGTGGAGGTATCCCATACTACCTTAAGAATACAAAAAAATTAAAAAAAAAAAAAAAAAAAAAAAAAAAAAACGAACTGATTAACTTTTCATTCAAATCCTTGTTCTGCATTTTTGTATGCTAGGTTTACAAATTGGGTCGGATATAAGTTCTAAAAACTCACTGCGCCATTTTCCTACATGTAAATTATTTCAAACATATTTACACATTATGGGCCACAGTCTAAAATGAATAAGACAGAAAATATTTTAATTAAATTAAATCATATTATTTTCTTTAGTTTATTTATCTATAAATTCTATTTAACTTATTTTCTGTTTTAAAGTGTAAATTTTCAAAAAGCAGGTATTTAAATGCATTATATCATATTTCTTTGTCTTTAATCTATTTGTTATAATTTCTAAAACTCTTAAATGCATTCAATTTATTTTCTTAATTTAAGTGTACAAAATACAGGTAAATCATAGGTTAAGTGTAATTATCTTAATTGCTATAAAAACAAATTAACTATCAAAAAATGTATTGTTATTTGCAGGTGGGAAAAGGTGGAACTGATTTTTTTTAAGTGGGAATAGGTTGAAGACGGCTGTATATTTACTTAAATATGATATTTCAAGTACAGTATAACAAAGCTATAGGTGATGTGTCATGTACAGGAGACAATGACAATGCGGTTGTTAACTTCAATCTGTAGAATAATCACAAAATTTATGATCTTTATCCATTCCTTTTCAGAAAAGGAATCTGCATGTCAGTCTATGCCGTGTAAGAATGGAGGAACGTGCACTGATACAGACACTTCGTACACGTGCATGTGTAACACAGGATGGACAGGACAGAACTGTACAGGTAACTATCATTGTCACCTTTATCGAGATTTGGTCCTGCTTGAGTTTCTGATGATTTTAAAATAACAAGATAACATTATTATGCCAGTGTAGAGAAATGCATATCAATCTACTTACATCTCTTTACTAAAGGAATAATGTTTTGGTAGAAATAATCAAGTATCCATCTAGTCCCTCTGTCAAACGAGGTTAAATATTTGCTTGACACAAAAAGGAAGATGCATCTTTTGTAAAAACGAAAAGACTAATAATACTTCTTATATATAATTATATCATACATATATATAAAATATTATAATACTATGAAGTCTCAATGAGTCATATCTTGAACTTTACATATCTAATACATGTATGCTCATCTACTTAATTACTATATATAAACTTTATATAAAACACTAGTGTTTAAAAAATTAATTTAGCATCATAATAATGTCACAATTTGAAGTACATATACCTTCACTTTTAATCTACTTTTAAGAAAAACAAATAAGTTGTAGCCAAAAAGTTTTGATTTGAGTTCAAATATTAATACTGGTAAGTCTTATTTCATGCACCAGTTTGTAGATCTAAAACTAAAGTAGTCTATCACCTCACCTCACCTATCCTCTTCGTGCCCGCTGGTACATGTACACAAATTCCCGATATAGCAATGGAAGGCTTTAGTAGTGCATTTTTATTAAGATCCCAATAATTATGATATATAATGTTACATCTACATTTGTTTAGTGTCTTTTGTTATCTATTTTTCTTTTCGTGTTTGTTTTAATCATGATTTTTTATATTCAAATAATTCCTCCATTTGGAGGTTATCTTTTAAGGGAAAAATTACTTTTGTAGGTTTTGATGGCGATTTCAAACACGAATACGTGTTTATGATTATGAAGAACCACCACTATGCATCAAATCAATCGTCACTGATTTACATGACAACAAATACCCCAGCAACCGTAGAAATCTCCACTTCAAACAATCTGAATTCCTCCCTAAAGTCCGCCATTGACAAAACCTTTTTCTTTACCTCCCAACTTAAAATTACCCTACCTCCTGAAATGCAAAGCGTTTCCTTCAAGACAGAGCCAAAAGCCATGAAAATTCGCTCAACAGAGGCTATAACCGTTGTCCTCTTTGACAATAACTATTCACAATCCAATGACGGTTCTCTGATTTCCCCAGTCGTAAAACTCGGCACTCGGTATTTGGTAGTGTCTACTGATCCTCGAGATGAAATGCACCCTGTCTACGCCAGTGTATTCGCTATTGCTGCGTTGGAAGACGACACATTAGTTAAGATAAACCTGATGGTTTATGATGCAGAGCAAAATTCAAGTGCTACAGAAACCTTCGAAATCCCCATGAATAATTTAGAGACCATACAACTGGAGCACTATAATGATTTATCGGGAAGTTTAGTCGAGTCTTCTAAACCTGTGGCAGTGTTTTCTGGAAATAGATGCAACATGTTTCCAGAATCGATAAGATGTAGTCATTTGATGGAACAAATGTCTCCGACTACAGAATGGGGCAGTATGTACATTGTACCAGCTGATTTCAATAGCGATGGTTCACTTTTGATCATAATGACTGATGGGTCCTCGAGCACGACAGCGAGCATTTTAGTGGGTTATGACCGGCATGATATTATTCTACTTCCTAGAATACCTTTTGAATTCACTTTGAGGGCGAACGAAACAGCAGTCATCTACATCCCTCAAGCCCGTGCCTCAGTAACCAGCTTTGTAAAAGGAAATAAGAATAATAGTAACTCTGGTTCTCCATACATGGTTAAGATTCCGGAAGTTCCTCAGAACAAAAGCCAATACTCCATCCCCATTCCTGAAGGTTACCTGACCAATTACGTAACGATTATGATCGACGAAAGTTCCAAATCTGATCTTCGACTGAATGGACAAGCTATAGAACAGACAAAGGTTCTCTTTGAAGACGCAAATATTCTGAATGATGGGCGGTTCGGATCGATTCTTACCGTGGAAGTTTCGCCTGGTGTATTGAACCTAGCTACAACATCGGGCTCTCCGTTTGGTTTGCTTGTCTTTGGTTACCGGTATCTAGATTCCTATGGATTTGCGGGAAATTTTGTTTAAGAATAAATAAGTTAAGCAACTGAAAATTCAGTTTGATCTTTTCAATACTTATATTTTAATGTAAAACATTCTAGTCTGACTGGCAAGGACATGAACCGAATCTTTTCTCTCGATAATTGTTGGGCATGTAACAGTTTTCAATCATAATTATTTTACTAATGAAATTACAGGTATATATTGTGTGTCCATACTCTATCATGGTGTCTTAGTATAAGTGTTTTCAGTTTCGGAATACTTTTCAGTAATCGTTGTTTCAAAGGAAAACTGTGTGCTAAAAACATCATTCATAAAAGATGAAAGTATGCTCAGGCAGAGGGAATAAATAATGATTTGCTAATATTTCTATGACTACGAATGTGTCATTTTCCCCATCTGAAATGCAAAAATTTGTAATAACTTTTTTTGCGTCATTTACTAAAGCTTAAAAGGAACCGGTGTCATTTTGGGGTAGGGAAAGGGATTAGAGAACCCCTGTAATGCCCCCCCCCCCATTAAATACGTACAAAATAAATATTCTCACTCGTCAGAAATCTAAGTCAGTAAGTCTTTCTGTTCTAGTCCTATACCATTAAAAATCAAAAACTTAGGTGTTCTGGAGATTATGCGACATATCCAGTACATTCATCTAAAGTTTCATTGTTTAAGTCTCTAAATGTGAAATGTAAATCTTCTTAAGGAATATTAATTGGGATACCATGTAAATATTTGCTTACATGGACGACTCGTCATTGAACAACTTTAATGGTAAATTCATTTATTAAATAACAAGACACTCAAAGCCCTTTACGATCACTGGACCATATCACAACAATTTAAAATATCCATTGAGGTATAAAATAAAAAAAATAAAACTTCTAAATGAGGAATTTTTTCCCCAAAAGAAACAGGAAAAGGATGAAAGGATGATCAAGGATCAATTTTTAAAAAATTGTCTAATACTCATTAACAGATCTTAAAGTTAATCTATTTACTTGGCTGAATTTGCCCCGATCGCAGCTCTGTTAAGGCTGCATAAAGGGGATGGGGCCTAAATTATATGGGAAATGTTTACTGTGACATCACACAGAAATAGCAATTCCTCACAATAACGGAAAATGAAATAATTTGCTATTTTAAACGGCATAAAAGTAATGACTACATAAAAACATACCAATGCATTCATAAACTACAAGTAATGTGGAAACAATTTATAACTTAATTATTTTATTATAACGAGGGTATGCCCTTGCGATGTTGAAATTTGTTCTTGACCTACATACACATTACATACTTTTATCACGTGATTGTCAAAAAACAACCAAACTAAATATTCCATACAGAGCGGCGTATACAATGTTATTTCAATAAATATTAAATACATGTGATAATAAGGTAGCTTTACAAAAGTAAATTCAGTTTTAAAAGGTATGTATTTACGCACGTTCATATTGATTTCTTCGTAGTACGCATTAACAGAGCTGCGATTTGTCACTATCACCATGCAGACTAAACAAAGCGATACCTATTCATTATAAGTAAGTCTACCTGATCACTAAAAATTATGAAAGCGCTTTTTTATATGTTGTAAAATTTCTCTCATAGATTTCTTATGCGATTGACTTTTCGATTACATTATTTACAGTGATTAATTATAATACATATGAGTGAATAGCAAAGGGGAATAACTTCTCCAAAAGAAGGATCCAAAACAACACAAGAATATTTGACTAAGTAGTCTAGATTTTTAAAAATCTTGTAAAAAAAAAAAATACCTTTCCTTATAACAACTTTTCTTCTAAGAGCAGAGGACATTTCTTATGAAATAATGCATTTTCACCATTGATTCAACGCAGTCCCGCCCTAAAATACCAATACCAAGATCAAAGGTGCATGAAATCATCAATTTTGGAAAAGGCACCCTTACTCATTATGATTATGTACTTAGTTATTTGCTAAATACCCAGGAGCAGAGATGAATATTTTTTAAAAATTCATGCATCTTCACTATATAATCAATAGAGTCGCAATCTGACATCATGAGGACTCCTGATCATTGGGCTAAGAATTTCACAATTACGGAAGCGGCATCTTTGCTCATCATAAATATGCACTAAATTTGTTTGCTAAATAACAAAAAGCAGAGAAGATGGTATTCAAAGAATAGTGCATTTTCGCTCTATGAGTATTAGAGCCCCACCCTAACGCCTTGAGAATTCCTAATACTGTGACCATGAAAATCACAATTTTAAAAAGGCGCCCTTGCTTATCATAAATATGCACTTAATTTGCTTGCTTAATAAATAGAAGCAGAGACCATGATTTTCAAGGACAATATTGTATTTTCAATATACAATCAACAGAGCCAAGTTCTTACGCCATGATAATCTCAAGGGCCATGAAATTCCCAATTTTTGAAGAATCGACATTGCTTATTATAACAATGCACTTAATTTGTTTGCTTAATACCTAGGAGCAGAGAAGATTTTCATAAAAATAATCAATTTTCGCCATAAAATCAATAGAGACCCCCCCCCCCCTTCTCCAAAAACCCTGATCTTGGTGTTACACATTCGGAAAAAAAAAACAGGTAGAATATATCATCTGAATGACACAGGTGACCTAAAATATTTAGATGTAAATATGCTCTGTCAACATTTCGAAAAATTATGCAAAAAATTACATATGAATTTGCAAAATGTACATGTAACTTTCTTGTTTATAGGAAAAAGGAATTATAGTCAACGATTCATAATTGAAGGAAAACAAAATTTATTTTTTGGTACTACTAAGCACAAAAATGTCACATATAACAAAGTTCACAATTTGATTCTTTTTTCACAACAGCTCATCTGATACTTAATGAATGGATTGTGAAGCCAGGAAAGATTTTCATGTTTAAGGTATTTTCAGGGACTGCCTTTTGTAAAATTTTAAATTTGCTCAAATATAGAATTCAAAAAGGCAAAAAATAAAATTCAATTTTCCTATTCCAATCCTACCTATTTAATAATTTTGTATTTTACCCCTGGAATCTTCAATTTTCAGATATTTCGAGGGTTTTTTCTTGGTTCCTTCGAGTTTTAGATAAAGAAGTTTGATTAACCAACAATCCAACAACAGCGGACTTGTCATCTTTCTTAGATCCAGAGGAGCTTCCAGGTGAACAATTAGAAGTCTTTATTTTACTGCCAAGTGTTAAAGTATGAAGTAGTGAAACAAATGCTGGTGTAGAACATGGCTTACTTGAATGACATAATAATGGGTTGGGACACTAAGGACACTGCTGCTTTGGACAGGCACGTTGTGGAGGGCATTGCTGTTATTGTGAGCATTGTTGCTGTGGGAGCCCATAGTGAGGTCATTGTGAACAACTGAAAAGCGAGGCTGTAAAAATAATGAAAGTAGCAGAAAAAACGTTCTTTGTTTAGAGGTTAACTTTGCCATCTGAGGCAGCTAAATGATTTCGTTTTTTCAGGATATGCGGACATGTTTTTTGAACATTAAGAACAAGCTAATTCAGAGAATTTGTGTCCCCGCTTAGGGAAAAAAGCGCAGTTCGGAGGGGGGGGGGCTAGATTTTTGTAAGATTATTAAATGTATACGTGTATATTGAAGCAAATTAAAAAAATGCCAATATGGATATAAAGATTTGATTGCTTATTCTTTAGTATGTGTATAGATGATTTCTTTTTATATAGAATATTTATCACACTGTAATAATGATTTTATGAGTTTGTACACGCCAGACGTCAGAACTTTTTTTTTTCATTTCACATGTTGAATACTCTCATTTAGTAAATCCCCCCCCCCCCGAAAAAAAATTCAAAAAAGGATCTCCCGAGATTTGAACCCGGACCTCTCATTTGCTAAGTAAGAATCATACCCCTAGATATATGATGTTTGCTTAGCAAGCGAGAGTTCAAATCCCGGACGATCTTTTTTTTATTTTTTATTTATTTATTTTTTTTTTGGGGGGGGGGGGGTTACTAAATGATACTATTCTTTAATTTATCATTCGAGCAATCAAACCCTTTAAGTCTGTTTGAAAGATTAAATATACATATATTAAAGAATAAGCAATCAAATATTTATATTCATATTGGCATTTTTTATTTGCTTCAATATACATGTATACATTAAATAATTCTACAAATCCGGGGTGGGGATCCAACACCACCACCACCACCCCACCCCCATCTGACTGCGCATGCTCTTCTTTTTTCCCTAAGCGGGGGACACAAATTATCTAAATTAGCTTGTTAATTTATTATTCGAGCGATCAAATCCTTTCAGTCTGTTTGAAAGATTAAATAATCCAAGGTTAGGTAAGTATCAAAATAAGGACCCAAAAAGTAATTTTTATGTCTCCCAAAGGACTCATTCGATACACAAGAACATGCTCTGAATATGATCCACTTTTAAACCGAGGCAGGCTACTGACCTATAAGTTGATGCTGTATTGATTTCAGCAACTCCCTTTTAAGTCAGCTTTCCGCAAATTCTTTTGTCGTTTTAATGACAGAGATTGCAGATACAACCTTCTACTGAAAAGCTTAACTATTCAGTCATATTTCCAGACATGTCAATGAACATTCAGTTAACCTTATAGTACATTTTATCCTGTGTTTCTGGGTGATCAATGGAAACTTATGCTTATGTAACAGAATTTTCAATACTAAATTCCCTATGCTGATACGATCATGATATGCATACCAGGAAATGGTTTCTATACTGAATTCGCAAAAACCTTTGAAAAAGTAGACCATTGTTGAAGAGTGTCACAATTTATGTTTGATGGTATTATATTTATCATTAGGACTAATAAAAAAAAAAAGAAATTATTTTCTAAACCAAAACAAGAGAATTTTTTTTAAATTCATCTTTATTTCATCCCATTCTTGATTACTTTTATAAAGGGATTGAAATGATGTATTTCTTTTTCCGTATCAACCACGTTTACCATAGCACTTGCACCTGAATTTTCTATTCCTCGGGCAGAAGATATGGCTTGAGCATGAACCACCTAGG